GGTGTTTTAGTCGCTTGAGCGGTCTTTGAGATCTCCTGTTATTTTTGTAGGTCTGCAAAACTTCTGGGAGTAGGATGTTATTCGCTCGAGCGAGCTTTCATGCGCTCGAGCGGTCTTCTGCAGTTTACAAAAACTTCTGGAAATGGGTCATTGTGTGCTCAAGTGGTGTTCTTGGTCACTTGAGCGGTGTAACTTATTGTGTCTGACGTTAGAGCAGTATTTTGGTCGAGCGGTCTGTACGTAATCAGATTGGGAAAAGGAAAATTTTATCACTTTTTCAATTTCTCTCTCTCTCTAAAACATTCCAAACCCTAATTTCTTTACTCTCTCTCTCTCTCTCTCTCTAGTTCTTACCTTAAAACCTCAAATACACCATCATCCCTTGATTTCTCCACTATAGCTTCTTGGAGAAAAAGGCAGAGCTCGTCAAAAACTTCATTTTTCAGTTCCATCAAAGTTTTACCTTTGCTTTTTTCCTCGTCTATTCTTGAGGTAAGGATTTCTTCAACCTTTGGTATGATTCTTGGCCTAGTTATTTGCTCTTTGAAAAGATTTAGTGATTTGAGGGTTTTAGGTTAAACCTAAGGTTTTGTTTTGAAATGTAAAAGAGAGGTTTTCAAATGGGTTCTTGAGAAAGGTTGTGGGAATGTATTTATGGTTAAGATATGTTGAAATGTTGGAATTTCTTTACTTAGGTGATTTTGAAAGTGAATAAGATTTTGATTTATGAAAGAAAAGGGAAAAGATGTTGGGTTTTGAAAGAATGAAATGAAAGTATTTGTTGATGATGAGGGTGGAGTTGGATATGTAATATCGTTCCCATTTTTTTTAAATGATGAGATTATATCTTTCGTTGAAAATTATTTGTTAAGTAAAAATATCTATTTTGGGCTATCAGTGAAAGATAGCTTTGATTGTTGTAGAAATTGCATGAGGATTAAGTGAATTGAAACTAATTACTCATACATCTTGCATTAAGCATTGAAAATGTATTGTTTTGAGAAAAAAGGGGTGAATACCTTGATGAATCTAGTTAAGAGGTGTAGTTGTGGTTATTATGCTGGCCTGTGTGTCCTTGGTGAAAGTCCAGAAACCCGCACGATTAGGTGTCGATCCTTCCAGTTAGTACTAGTAAAATGGCTTTGGTAATGCTTGTATAGCCTACTAGCAAACACATACCTAGAGATTCCCAGTGTTTTGTATCAACTACCATGTTTTCTTAGGTAAAAGGATATTTTCATGAATTAACGTACAATCCTGACACTGCATTGTTTTGAGATGAAGATGTAAAAAGTTTGATAAATGGCATGTATATACATTCACCTTATGACTTCGTTAAGGTTTATACAATGTGTTAAAGTATCTCTACTGGGTTTTAGCTCACCCTATATGAAAAACAACTTCAGGTGCTAATGATATGCCTCAAAGACATAGCTTGAGAGGACTTGGAGCCAAGATGTAACACCCCACACAATATAATTTACATCGAATAGTTAAAAGTACATTCTTCACATATACACAACACATTTCCATTCAAATATTTCTCTCTCATTGAACCGCAGATTTTGCTTACAAACCATTTCAAAATACGTATCTTTGTTCAACGAGTTAGAAAAGATTACAAAACAATTACATTGCCCTTCTAATTTACTAATTACATTGAGACATTAATACAAAATTACAAAATTCAAAATAAAATAGAAAAGGAGTTCCATGGTTTCATTACAAATTCAAGTTCACAAAAGGTTAGGGAAAAAAAAAGTCTTTTTCTTCTTCTTCATAGACGAGTTTGGGGTTCTTCATTTCCTGAAATGTTAGTAAAATAGGAATGAGCAATGTTGCCCAGTAGAGAATAACTTTATCGAAGTATATAGATATAGATATTTGATTTAAATATGTGTGACCTACATTAACACCCAAGAGTTCATATGTATTTTAAACTTTAATTTTACAACACACAATTCACAAATCAACCTCCACACTTTTTCCGTCCTCACACGGATGGCATGTGGTGCCTTTCCACTTTCGTCGTCCTCATACGAACCGGCCAGTGGACACCTCACAACATACCCACATTCGCTGCCCTCACGTGGACCGGAAAAGTGGGCACCTCAAACGCAACCCCACATTTGTCGTCCTCACACGAACCGAGCAAGTGGGCACCTCAAACACATTCCAAACATGAACATTTTACACACAACATTTATAACTACAAGGATTCTCCAATTTTACTTATCAATTGTCCATTTCATCAAAATCTTGAATAAACCCTTAGGGTTCATATAAAAACTTGGGGCTTTTCCTTTCAATTGTTTATTTCCCTTGATTCAAGTATGTTTATTCCCTATTTCATAGTATAATCCATCATCAATTTCAAATAAATACTTTATCACACAAAACTCATGTATGTATATATATAGATACGTCTCATTCATCTCAATAGTCCTATTCATCACAAAATTCACACCTATTTAGATCAAAATATAAATATACAAGGGTAAAAGTATTCCTACCTCAAGATTATGCGATGAAAGATGAAGGCCCACTCGATGAACTTTCGAAACACCACGTTCTATTCGGTTCAAAACGTAACTCTTAACGAGTAGAACAACTTTAATGAAAGCCCAAGGATTGATTCTTGCTCTACCTAGATGAAATTTGAAGTTAACTATCTAGGGTTTTGAGAAGAGAGCTGTTAGAGAGAGAATGAGAGTGGAAGAAATGATTTGGAATGATGTTTGGATCGCAATATGACTCTGTTGTCCCGAGCAGACTGCTCAAGCAAACTTTCCTTCGCTTGAGCGAAGTACCAAAATACAAAGGGACCACTCGAGCAAACTTTCCGTCGCTCAAGCGGTAAACGCAAAGAAAGTTTTGCAGAGCTACAATGAAAATACTAGGAGCTTACATTCTTCACTCGAGCGAACTTTCCATCGCTCAAGCGATCTCACCCGCAAACCTGCGAGATACTGGGAGTTACAAATCTCCACTCAAGCAACCAAATGACCACTCAAGAAACAGCTATTACACAAGAGCTTCTTTTGTTTTTTTTTATGTAATTATTTTTGTACTAGCCTTGGGCTTTAACTATATTGAGTTGAACTCATTTTTGTTGTACACAAGCATTAACTTGGAAAGATGTAGCCATTAAGGCATAAAATTACTTGATTCTTCTTTTATTTCAATTCATGTACACATACCATATGCTATAGATTCAGGATCTAAGATATATGTCATCTTTTGTATGATCAAGGAGTATAAATGCAATGTTAAATATAATGTTTTTGATCAATTCAATGGAATATTATCATGTGGTTTCGTTGTTATTTTTCGGGGTGTTACAAGGACTCAACAATATCAGAAGAAGTGTTATTCTCATTAATACTTAACTTAAAACGGAAACGACATGCAGGTGGGAGTTGAGGGAAAAATATTACCAACACATGGAGGGGTGCAAGTGACACTTACACTTCCACTGCCTTACATTTACACCCCACCACAGACACTTGCACCTCCCCTATGTTTGTAATTTTTTTTCTGAACTCCCACCTGTATGTAGTTCCCCTCTAACTTAAACATACCCCTTGCCAACAAATTTCCCATTCTTAGTTAGGATCAACTTATTGGATTTAAAAACAACCCAAAAGCCTCTCCTACAAACAACATCAACAGAAACTAAATTCTTTCTCATATCAAGAACATGAAAAGCATTCAAAAGAGTCAGCAATTTTTCACAAGTAAAATAGAGTTTACATTGCCTTTTCCAGCAACCTCAGCACAATTATGATTTCCCATTTGAACTTCTTGGCCATCCAATTTTTCGAGTGACCTGTCCTTACATACATCAACTGTTGCACCAGAATCAAACCACTATCCAGAAGAGGTGTCAGCCATGTTGATTTCAATCACCATTGCAAACATCACTTTTTCCACTATATTGGCCTACATTTTCTGTCTTATGGAACAACAATCTTTGGTATAGTGACCCTTTTTCCCCACAATTGTAGATAATGTAGATTCAACATTATGAACATTCAATTGAGCATTCCCTTTCTTCTCTATGTTACAAGATTCTTCTTCAATTCGAAGATGCTTTTGAATTTTCTCAAGGGATATCTTCTGCCTTGTGTAGAAGCTTCATTATGTAATCTTTCCAAGACCAAGGAAGTTTTGCAATAATTGCTCCACTTGGAAGGATTTTGGGAGGTTTATGTTTATTACAAAGATTTTGTTAATGATGCTTTGTAACTCATGAATCTGATCTAATGTGGGTTTGTTATCAGCCATACAAAAATCAAAATATTCTGCAATGAGAAATTTCTTTGTACCTTCTTCCCAGACTTTATATTTGAATTCTAGTGTCCCAAATTTCTTTGGCAGTCTTCACCTCTGTCTGTTTGTAAAAATTGTAGAGGCGATCTGACAGAGCATTCATAATATGTCCCCGACAGAGCAATGCATCTTTAGTGCATTTTATTCTCTTTTTCTTCAGATCTTTGGACTCCCCTTATTTCGTGTATGGAATTGGTGCGGGATTCAAATCCAGAAATAGTACACCTTCATAACAGTAAGAATAATAATCATCTGGTCTCTCTAACAAGTGAAATTGCTCCCATCAAATTGATCAAGTTTGACGAGTTCCTATCATTTTAATCGAAGTTAAATTCTTCTCAATCTCCATTGCAGCATTGCAATGTCAAATTACATTGTAAAATTGTTAGGAAAATTTAGAAAACAGAAAGAACAATTCGGTTAAGGCTTGAGGCTTATCTATAGACACTTTCTTTAGAATGTAATTTGCCCCCACTCAATTGAATTTGTGGTTGGGTTGCAAACAAAATCGTTCCCAGATAAAACAAGCCCTGGGTGAAAAACGACGACCAAAAAGTCGTAGAATTTCATAAGAATTCCTAACTTTAAACATTGCTATGCAAGAACTTAGTTTCAATCACACAATAAACAATAAGAAGAAAAATAGGCACACACACAAACACAAGATATTCGTGGGCGAAATCGCTACGTCCATGGCGGAGAACGATCAAATCCACTATACGCAATAAGGATTACGACACACTCCGCATCTCTCTGTTTTTCTCTTAACCCTAAAACATATACACTTATACAATATATAGGGAAAAACAGTAGGGCCGAAACTAACATTACAGACCCATTACGGTGCGTTGCGTAGGGCCCGCCCCCCACACCCCGGGCTAGGAGTTCAATAAATACAAGACACCTCACAACAATCTCCACATTGGCGTATTTATCATAAACCATCCTGAAAAGAGGTCGTAGATGTCATCAATCACCAAGTAACTATACCCCATATTGGGTACCTTCCTGCACCTACTTTATGGGTAAGAGTGCACTACCCTCCAATCATCATCAACATGAGAGAACATGAATTAAGTCTAAGCAATGCTTAAACTTATCCATTAGAACTAATTTTTTCAGCATATCAGAAGCATTCTCATCAATGTGAGCCTTCAACAAGCATACATCACCCAAAGATAGCCACTCTCTAATCATGTGATACCTTACATCAATGTGCTTTGTTCTAGCACGATACACTTGATTCTTGGCCAAATGAATGGCGCTCTAACTGTCACACTGCAATACAATATTGTCTTCCTTGAAACCAAGCTAACCAACCAATCCTCTAAGCCAAACTGCTTCTTTTGCTGCCTCGGTCACTGCCATATACTCTGCTTCTATGGTAGATAGAGCAATCGTATCCTATAAAGTAGACTTCCAACAAATAGAACCACCAGCAAACATGAACACATAACCTGTCATGGACCTTCTAGAATCAAGATCCTCTAAATAGTCAGCATCCACATAACCCATAACAGTTGTTGAAGCTAATTTCTGATCAAACATCATCCCAAAATCACCAGTGCCTGCAAGATACCTGAAGATCCACTTTACTGCATTCCAATGCTTTTTTCCTGGATCTGCCATATATCTGCTAACCATGCCAACTGCCTTGTGCACACCATCAAATACATGAGACACCAAACTGCATTTGCATATGGTACTTGAGACATATTCTTTGCCTCCTCATCTGACTTAGGACGCAACTCTGAAGAACTGAAATGCGCAACAAGAGGTGTACTAACAGGTTTCACGTTCAATATGTTAAACCTCTCTTAACACCTTCTTCAAGTAACCCTTTTGAGACAACCACAATTTTCCAGTCTTCCTGTCATGGTGAATTTCTATCCCAAGGATCTTTTTGGCAGCTCCAAGATCCTTCATGTCAAATTCATTACTCAACAAGGACTTTAACTTCGTAATTTCCTGCTTTCTCTTTGCAGCAACTAACATGTCATCAACAAAAATAGAAAGCAAAACATTTAAACCATCAACAAGTACTCTAAAATAAACACAACAATCATACTCACGTCGTGTTTACACATTTCAAAATAGTTTTTGAAGAACAATTATTAACGGAATCCAAATATAAAAAATAAAAATAAAAAGAAGAACTGCAATTGAAGCTAGCTTTGGTACTAAACCACTGCAACATGAATAAAAGACATGGAACTTTCATGGACAAACAGAGCTAATCAATCGTAATATAGATGACCTTAACAGACTCACAATTCATCATCATCATAGATGTTCATACTCCGTGAATTAAAGCATCTTCAAAATAAGAAAATCACACCTGAAAATTAATATATATATATATAGATCTAAAATCCTCTTCTTTTTTTTCAAATTTCAAAATGAAAAACATAATCAAAAACAACCAGATTCACTAAAAAATGTGAAAGGCTTCATAGCAAATCTACCAACCAATGACGGAAGGAAGTAAGGACCAAGGGGGCACGTCCTCTCCCCCCCTCAACTTTTGAAAAATTACACTTTTGCCTCTAGTAAAAAAAAAAGTTTCAATTTTATCCATTCAAATATGATATTAAATTTTTAAATCACTATTTTCTTTACATTTTCTCTTCAAACAAAAAAACTTGTTTAATATATTACTGAGTCACCAATTTTTTATATTAGAGGAATATTATATGTCACTAAGTTTTTTGTTATATCACCTCTTATATGAATACTCATAATTAGTTCCTTTGTTTTGAGATACTTATTACACAATTAACAACAGCTAATAATATATTACTATGTAATTCAATGATTCAAAATTGTAAAAAAAAAATAAGTGATATATAATAGTGTCTTTGTATTATTTATTCACATTCTCTCATTTCTTTTCTTTTCTTTTTTTCCTATCTACATCTCTTTTGTGTGTGCAACTTAATATAATTTCGTTTTCATATTTTATAAGGTATGTGATTATTTTTCAAACCATGTGATTATCATATATAAAATCAAATTAAAAACAAAAAATGATTAAGATCGGTTAACTCGAGCTTATATTTAAATAAAACATTTGCATTACAGTGCTTTTTATTCCTACCATCAAATAAAAATTAAATTAAATTTGATTGTGATTTTTATTAAGATTTCAACTCAATGGTACCCCCTCTGAACCAAAATTCTAGCTCTGTCACTGTTACTAACACACTTACCACTCCAGCAAGATGAAAAGGCAAGAAAATTTACAATGTTCTAAAACGTAGAACAAATCTTATTACTATTTTCATTTCTCTATGTTATCTCAAAGAACAAATTAATCATTATGCAAACAACAGCAACCAATTTGGAAGTCTTACCATTGAAAGGTGAACATTACAATGGCCACTCTCTTCCTTTGGAAGTATTTTTTCATCTTAATCAACCACCAATCATTTAAACAAACATTTTCAGAAAAATTAATAATAATGATATCTGGAAGGAAAACTTATGAAGTGCACTCCTAAAAAAGTACATCGTAAGAAAATTACGATTTTTTTTTTTTTTTTTGAAAGTTATGTCACACTAATTTGTGATAAAAGTTTCGCATAATGAATTTATGATATACATACACCCTAAAGTGAAAGTTACGGTAGTGCTTGGTTTAATTTTTAAATTAACTTTTGAATTGAAAAATCAAAAAATATGTTTGGTTTACCATTTTTGAAAATCATTTTCAAAGTTGTTTTCTCTCTCTCCTCTCCTCTCCTCTTTTTTTTTTTTACACATCCATCAATCAATTTTTTTCTGTCCTCTCTCCTCTCTTATTCTCTCACATTTTACACATCAATCAATCGATTTTTCTCCCACATTCATCTATTCAACTATAAAAAATAAAAATAAAAAAAATAAAAATAAACCTACAAATCATTCCAAAATTATTTTCAAAACTCATAATCAAACAAGTTTTCAATTTTCAAAACTCTTTTCAAATACTTATCTTTCAAAATACAACTCAATTTTTAAAAACTAAACCAAATGGATACTTTTGTGGTAAGAAAATTTGTGTCAATTTATAATTTATGTTACAAAATTTTATAATAATGTTATGAAAGGCATACCATTTGCACCTTTTTACATAGCATCTCCCTAATTTGAAATTAATGAAACATATATTGTAGAAAGGATTTTTATTTGAGAGTACTTTAGAAAGCTACTTACTGTTTTCATAAATTATGACCTATTCAATAGAATGTTGTTGATCATCACTACCCTTTTCCATCATGGTTGAACCCTGGAATCCTAGCTATTGGATAATAACGGTTCCTATAAGCATCAAATTGAAGCCTTGTTTCCACTGCAGTTTATCAAAAAATAACGACTCCTCTATCCAACAACAATGAAGGCATATTAACTCATTTCAATTGTTAGAAATAATATACAAATAAATGGCACTTATTCATAATTCTCTCTTCACCTACTTATGTTCCACTTAGTTTAAATTATTTTTTTATATTTCAATGAATCCTATGAATGATATAGTTACCAAAATATTCCTAATAATAATATTCACATTAACAGTGTGAATATTTCATGATGTGAACATTCACAGTGTAAAATATGAATATTCACATCACCAAATTGTGTGTGTTTGGTAACGTTTACGTTTTCAGTTTATATTTATAAAAATTTTATAAACTGGTTTTTGTTTATTTTTAGAAAAACATAAACTACAAACGCGTTTGAAGTATTTTTTCATCTTAATCAACCACCAATCATTTAAACAAACATTTTCAGAAAAATTAATAATAATGATATCTTGAAGGAAAACTTATGAAGTGCACTCCTAAAAAAGTACATCGTAAGAAAATTACGATTTTTTTTTTTTTTTTAAAAGTTATGTCACACTAATTTGTGAAAAAGTTTCGCATGATGAATTTATGATATACATACACCCTAAAGTGAAAGTTATGGTAGTGCTTGGTTTAATTTTTAAATTAACTTTTGAATTGAAAAATCAAAAAATATGTTTGGTTTACCATTTTTTAAAATCGTTTTCAAAGTTGTTTTCTCTCTCCTCTCCTCTCTTTTTTTTTTTTTACACATCCATCAATCAATTTTTTTCTGTCCTCTCTCCTCTCTTATTCTCTCACATTTTATACATCAATCAATCAAATTTTCTCCCACATTCATTTATTCAACTATAAAAAATAAAAAAATAAAAAAACCTACAAATCATTCCAAAATTATTTTCAAAACTCATAATCAAACAAGTTTTCAATTTTCAAAACTCTTTTTAAATACTTATCTTTCAAAATACAACTCAATTTTTAAAAACTAAACCAAATGGATACTTCCGTGGTAAGAAAAATTGTGTCAATTTATAATTTATGCTACAAAATTTTATAATAATGTTATGAAAGGCATACCATTTGCACCCTTTTACATAGCATCTCCCTAATTTGAAATTAATGAAACATATATTGTAGAAAGGATTTTTATTTGAGAGCACTTTAGAAGGCTACTTACTGTTTTCATAAATTATGACCTATTCAATAGAATGTTGTTGATCACCACTACCCTTTTCCATCATGATTGAACCCTGGAATCCTAGCGATTGGATGATAACGGTTCTTATAAGCATCAAATTGAAGCCTTGTTTCCACTGCAGTTTATCAAAAAATAACGACTCCTCTCTATCCAACAACAATGAAGGCATATTAACTCATTTCAATTGTTAGAAATAATATACAAATAAATGGCACTTATTCATAATTCTCTCTTCGCCTACTTATATTCCACTTAGTTTAAATTATTTTTTTATATTTCAATGAATCCTATGAATGATATAGTTACCAAAATACTCTTAATAATAATATTCACATTAACAGTGTGAATATTTCGTGATGTGAACATTCACACTGTAAAATATGAATGTTCACATCACCAAATTGCTAAGCGTTCAAAAAATATTTATAAGGATAAAATTGTCTATAAAATACCTTCAATATGAGAATTAGGATTTAGTGAATCAAATGTCTAAATAATAGGACTTATTGGAATACAAGAATATGTTATGGACTAATTGGGATACAAGTATTTGAAAAATGATTTCCTATTAAATCCCCTTACAAATAATCGGTTTGCTTTAAAGAATGATTAAAAATTATAAATCTTAAACCTTTATGGCACATATACACATAGACAAACAAAAAATTAAATGCATAAACGTACAAACAAAATCATACTAAAAACAAAAAGATCTCTATAATGTTCATAACAATGAAAAGAAAAAAGCTTAATCACAAAGTATTTATCCAACTCCAACCCAAAAAAAATTGCCATTAGTACGGGTCATTGGTAATTACCAAAAAAAAATTGATGTACAATCTATAGCAATCTAATAGAAAAGGCAAGAAAGATAATTTGTAAACCCAAAACTTGCAATTTGAGAGCATCATGGCAAACCCCAAAAAACACACTGAAACAGGATTTATGTTGATCAAACATGGAGAGAGATACTTTGCAATCTGATAGTATATCCAAAATTATCAATATAATGGAATCATAGAAAACTCACCAAAAAATATAATTAAAACCCCAAAAAGCACGCTAAAACAGGATTTATGTTGATCAAACATGGAGAGAAATACTTTGCAATAAGACAGTATACCCAAAATTTTCAATCTAATAGAATCGTAGAAAACTCACCAAAAAATATAATTAAAACTCAAAGCACTTATAATACCTAAAAAGCAATTAATGCCATCAATGAACACAATAGCTCTAGAAAAAACTTCAAGTACATTCAACACCATCTAATTGTAGAAATCAAGTACCATCAACAATAAAAAAATAAAAAATAAAAATAAAAAACAATTAATGCCATCAATGAACACAATAGCTCTAGAAAAAACTTCAAGTACATTCAACACCATCTAGTTGTAGAAATCAAGTACCATCAACAATAAACTTGAAAAAAAAAAACGGAAAGAGTAAAATCCCTTAACTGAACAATGACCAAATAACAAAGAACTAGTAACCAAAATAAGAACCTTACATATGTCATTATCCACTATCTAACAAAACTGTACCAAAGATATTCTCATGGACCCAGTAAACATGGCTAGGTGAATGGAAGAAAAAAAGGAGAAACAGAATTCCTCCACCCCTTTAAAGTATTAAATAAACTATGGAAGATAAAGATAATGAAATATTAAATAACGTGGATAACATAAGATACAATGTGCTTACCCTATGGATGTTGTCCTCTTTTTTCCTTTTTTTTTTAATAACTGGGTGTCCAGGCCAGTTTATGTACACCACGACTAATCCCAAGGCCCTAAAGTTAACGACCAGGCAAACATCCAGCGGCCCCAAGGTTTGGAACGTTTGGCCTTCGTGGATTCGACCACGCAACATTTTGGGTGGTAAACCTTTTGGCTGCCTCTCCTCCTACTAAGCCAAACCCCTTGGGGTTGGATGTTGCTCCTCTATGACCTGAGGTATAAAAAAAAAAAAAAAAAATTAAAAAAATGAATAATGAGCAAAAGAATCAATAAATGACATGAAATCCACATATTAAATAAACAATAAAATTAAATGGAAGAAAAATCAACTCACCACAAGTTTTATAAAAGTTTGTTTTTGTGTAGGTGTATGTGTGCGAAAATAAACAAGGGCAAAACAATTAAAAATAAATAAAAAATAAATAAAAAAGCAAATAAATAGGGAATTACAAAATAAGAGAAGAGAGGTACTTCTGAGACTCATAGGCAGTAGGATTGAGCTTCAAATCTTCCTTGAGAGCTTTCCTTTCTCAACTGCAGAACCAGGTCTGATGATGCAAACAAATTCACATCAAGTAAATGCATGGTTATTCAAATGATAGCAAACGAACAAATACCAAAAACATAAACAGTTAGCAGAAAAATAAACAAACAACCACAACTTAAAGCACAATTGTTTGGGTAAATATTGGGGAAAACCTTTTTTCTTGAAAACACCCTTTTCTTGAAAATTTAAATTAAATATAATGGGCATGGACATGGGTGGTTGTTTTTTTTAACAAAGAATTATACACATAGTTAATAAACCTTCATTGTTGTTGGATAGAGATAGAAATTCCTTTCTACAGTACATGCTCCATTAGGTGTTTGAAAATGAAGCTTCATTAAGGCACTAATGACCTTAACGATTCAAAACAAATAAGATCAAAACATGTTTTATAATCAGACATGAACAATCACTTGGAGCGGCTGTGCTTGGAGTTCATGCATGCAGTTTTGAGGATGCAGAATCTTCCGGAATAGTTGTCCTCTTTGCCAATGTCGCATCATCTTCCTCCTCTTAGGGTAGTGTGGTATTCATTAATTTTAGGGCTTTTCTTTGAGAAAGTGAGAGAGTGTGATGTCGGGTTTTGGTTCTCCAGCGCAATTTGCAAAACAGGAGAAACAGAATTCCTCCACCCCTTTAAAGTATTAAATAAACTATGGTAGATAAAGATCATGAAATATTAAATAACGTGGATAACATAAGATACAATGTGCTTACCCTATGGATGTTGTCCTCTTTTTTTCTTTTTTTTTAATAACTGGGTGTCCAGGCCAGTTCATGCACACCTCAACTAATCCCAAGGCCCTAAAGTTAACGACCAGGCAAACATCCAGTGGCCCCAAGGTTTGGAATGTTTGGCCTTCGTGGATTCGACCATGCAACATTTTGGGTGGTAAACCTTTTGGCTGCCTCTCCTCCTACTAAGCCAAACCCCTTGGTTGGATGTTGCTCCTCTATGACCTGAGGTGTAAAAATAAAAAAATTTAAAAATAAAAAAAAATGAATAATGAGCAAAAGAATCAATAAATGACATGAAATCCGCACATTAAGTAAACAATAAAATTAATTGGAAGAAAAATCAACTCACCACAAGTTCTATAAAAGTTTGTTTTTGTGTAGGTGTATGTGTGCGAAAATAAACAAGGGCAAAACAATTAAAAATAAATAAAAAATAAATAAATAAGCAAATAAACAGGGAATTACAAAATGAGAGAAGAGAGGTACTTCTGAGACTCATAGGCAGTAGGATTGAGCTTCAAATCTTCCCTGAGAGCTTTCCTTTCTCAACTGCAGAACCAGGTCTGATGATGCAAACAAATTCACATCAAGTAAATGCATGGTTATTCAAATGATAGCAAACGAACAAATACCAAAAACATAAACAGTTAGCAGAAAAATAAACAAACAACCACAACTTAAAGCACAATTGTTTGGGTAAATATTGGGGAAAACCTTGTTTCTTGAAAACACCCTTTTCTTGAAAATTTAAATTAAATATAATGGGCATGGACATGGGTGGTTGTTTTTTTTAACAAAGAATTATACATAGAGTTAATAAACCTTCATTGTTGTTGGATAGAGATAGAAATTCCTTTCTACAATACATGCTCCATTAGGTGTTTGAAAATGAAGCTCCATTAAGGCACTAATGACCTTAACGATTCAAAACAAATAAGATCAAAACATGTTTTATAATCAGACATGAACAATCACTTGGAGCGGTTGTGCTTGGAGTTCATGCATGCAGTTTTGAGGATGCAGAATCTTCCAGAATAGTTGTCCTCTTTGCCAATGTCGCATCATCTTCCTCCTCTTAGGGTAGTGTGGTATTCATTAATTTTAGGGCTTTTCTTTGAGAAAGTGAGAGAGTGTGATGTCGGGTTTTGGTTCTCCAGCGCAATTTGCAAAACAGACTGGGAGGGGAGGAAGAGGGTGATTGAGAGAATCTGAGACGAAGAAGATGATTCATGTATCTGGATTTCAAATTTT